TGATCCCTCGAGCATTGTTCATTTTGCTTAGTATTGTTTAGATTACCCCAGGTCTTTCGTGGTTCCATGGGTCTTTTTCTGTTTCTGTGAAGAATGATATAAGGGATTTAATTGGGAATGCATCAAAGCTGTAAATAGATTTTGATAGCCTACTCATTTTCACATTAGTTCAATTTATGAACATAAAATGTCTTTCTATTTTCTGTGTACTTTATCTCCCTTTTTCAGAGATTTAATGATTTCAAGGTCTTTTACCTCCTTGATTAGATTTATTTCTCGATATTTTATTTCATTTAAATCAATTATAAATAGGGGTGTGTCCACTGTCTATTTCTCTGTATATTTGCTGATGGTACATAGAAAGGATATTGATTTTTACAAGTTAAATCCATTAACAACAGTTCTCCAATTGGAGTTAAGGTTGATTCAACAAAAGGGAAATCAACGTTTGGAAGACATGAAGGTCATTGTGTTACAGATAAGCAGTAGGCATACCAGGAACGTTAAAAACACAAGGCTGTTCCTTCAAAAGGAAAGATATATAACATTTTTCTTTTCTGCCCATAATGCTGGTAGCAACCATAATTTATATTCTGAAGACATTTGATAACCACAGATATTTGGCTAGCTTTCCATTACTAGTCATTACAGGAATCTCTGGGACAACCAGTTAACAGAGAGTATTCTAGCTCCTCATTAAGACACCTACTGTGAGTTTACCAATCCATAAAAAATTATCTTTATAATAGTTGTCACATGCAAGAAATCAATAGAATCCATCTTATGGAAAATGTCATATGCACTTCACGAAGTGTTTTCATGTAGTCATGTCTTAAGCTTTAGGATAGAGTTATTTTTCACCAGGGTACCCTCCCCAAACAACGATGACCTTAAATATGTATAAAATAAACTAATCAGTGTCAGATTATATGCTTGAACCAACACTGGCTACTGAGTCCTGCTGAACCAAACTTTATTCTTGACTTCAAGTGGATCGTTGTTTTGCTGTCTATGGTGTTTGCAAAGAAAACTGAAATACCTCGTACTGGAAACCTAGACAACTATCTGTTGCTAGGAAAATATCAGATCTTAGAGATGTGAAACTTTTAAAATTAGGGGTTCTTTTAACCATATATTTCAATTATTTTTATCGTTTACATAACTCTGCACTTTTAGTAGTACTACACTGATAAATCTCTGAAGCTGGGTTAGTTTGCTTTTAGTTGCTGGGACAATAATAAGGGAGGAAAAGTAATGAAATGTTCTGAGCTTATTTCATGGGCTTTGCTTCTCAGCCCTTCAGAGGATCACGAAACATTCCTTGACAGAATTACAACTGTGAGTATGTGTCTTGCCACATACATCTTTAGGTAAAACCTACAAGTTAAGAGAACCTCCCTCCAGAGTATAGTCATGAAAAAAAGTGCTATAAGTAGAGTATTTTCTAATTGAAATAAGACTAAACAACAACTAACATAACAAAATCTAGACATGGTAGAGCACACCTTCAAAACAGGCACTCATTGCAGATAGAAACAGGATGATCAGGAATCCCAGGCTACCTGAATTTGAAACCTACCAATGATACATGAAGTACTGTCTCAGAAACAGACAAATAGCAAAAATGGTGTTAGAAAATATGAAGAGGAGGAGGTCAGCAAACACAGCAGAATATAAGAAGAAAAAATTCCAGAGAAACAATTCAAGATAATTTCATAAAACCAATGGATAGTATTATATATATTAGAGAAGAAAATGTGTTTACAGAATATAGATATTCCCTAACTAAATCGAAGCACTCATATTGCTGTATTTTAGGAAATAAACAAAAGGATATAACTGTTTCTATGAAGAAAGGCCAAAAATGCTGTAGTCATTGTAACAGATAATTACTAAATGAAATAATAACATAGCATAATTACCCTCATTAGCAACACAAAACAAATCAGTGAGAAGTATCCATATAATCCAGAATTCTAAAATACATTTTAAATCGTAATGACATGCATGCACTTTATTAAATGTAAACTTCAGACTTCAGAATTAATGACAAGATGAAATTTTTAATGGCTCATTCATCACCCAATATCAGAGGAAGTACATACTCTGTAATCACTTGATTCTTATTGACTCCACATTTTTACCTTGTTCCTATATGTCCAAACTTCTTTGTGAATGTAGTTTTACGTAAAGGTGAAACAGTTTTGGCAGGATTTGCCTAGTAACACAAGAAGTGTATTACTCTGTTGGGGGAAGTAGCAGTACCTCCACACTTGGCTTCCTGGGTTTGTTTCCAGTTGATATTTTCACATTTCAGTCTCTAAACCTGTTCATTTCAATTTAGATTACAGATTATTCTTTTGAATTGGAAGTTTCCCAAAGATCTCTAGACTTAATTTTCTTTTTCTTCGTGATGTTAAAATCCCTTTAAGAGTCATCTTTTGTTCATTTCCCAAGGTTTCTTTTAGTGGTAGGACATTGCAAACAATATTTTTGTGAAGGAACTTAAGTATTATTTGCTCTTTAGTTGTATCATTGGCTTTAGAAGAACACCAAAATTCGATTTCTGCAGATATTGCTTAAAGAGGATGTACAATAATTAGCACATAATGTATTTTCTTTTTTTTGCATTTTTTATTAAATTATTAATATTTTCACATGTACTTTCCCTCTCCCTCTCCCTCCCCCCACCCCC